CTGCCCTGGATGTAATGGACCATCATGATTCCTGCCTTCCGGAACGTAGCCTTCAGCACTTCAAGCCGTCCGTATCTAGGCCGTGGGTCGAACCAGCCCTCGGTCGAACGGCCACTTGTCGAAGGACGATAAATTTTGGAACATAACTATGCTATCTGAAACCTAACCTCAGATGAGGTGAACGTAAAATTACGTAATTTAACGATGCCCGGAAGTCAGATTCGATCCGCGGCCTGGTGGTGCACGGCAGGTTCTATGCGAGGCCGGAGGAAGACAAAGCCGAGTGGTTCACGGCTGAATGGTGGATGTCCGGAGAGATCCAAGGCGTTCGATTCAGGGCTTATTGGTGCACAAAATTGGTGGTGCACGGCTGCGCTCCCCTGCCGAATAAATATTTGCTATGAGAAATAATCAGCCAAACCTCCATTCTTGTTAGACAGTGCGTTTAGAATCGCAGTTAAAACTTTTTCATTATCAATGCACTCAAGTAATACAAGCGACTGAACATGCGTCGGATGAACAACATAGCGACATGGAGCTGATGTTTGTGAAAGCTTGTGGCCAGGAACCAAAAAGTTTAAGTGGATTTGAGCAAAATATTTGTTCACACTATTTAGAATTAACGGGCTTCCTCACATGTATAATGGAAAATATTAATAATGTTCAAATATTTGCGTATGAGCTCGAGCGCCCACATATATGTTTTGTTTCATTCACTTCCAGGAACATAATTATTATAATAATACTAATAATAATAATAATAATAATAATAATAATAATAATAATAATAGCGGTAATAGCGGAATCGCCGATTCTTAACATCGCAGAATATTCACGGAATTTTGAGGTCTCGAACTCGCAACTCACTGCTACAATTATGCTGTGCTTAACCGCCCGGCCTCCTTGCCGATTCTGACCAGAAACTGGCGCACAGAGCTGGGATCGAACCCGCGCCTCTCTGCGCCAATCTTGGTACTCTGAACTGTTACCACTGCGGGCCACCCTACCACTTATTCAATTCATTCTCTGTTGAAATGGACTATGTATGCCTCTAGCCTAGAATTTAAACATCTCTTGAGATGGCTGGAAATCCAGTGGATGAAAAATTGCATTTCCAGGAACTGGCTATTTTCTATTATTTTGCGCTGATTAAATAGCTGTAATGATTGCCCCCTAGGCTAAATATGCGCATGAGAATGCATATCGAACCTAAAATTGTAGAGTTTTGTTGGAAGAAACTGTGGCGTTCTAGACTTAAGAACAGCGTATCAGGGATACCCGCCTGATTATTTCAACATACAAATGTTCATGTATTTTTTATCAGATTATTATCAAGCCTTAAAGCCTGCAAATGAAGCTCCAACTGAAGCTATACGCACTTGGCCTCAGTATGGGTAATTTGAGCGCATGTACTAACATTAAATAATATCTTAAAGTTACAGAAGACCGTAAGAAACATATGGTGAAAAATTTATTCTTCGTGTTATAATCAATTTTTATCTCCTAATTTAAATTGAAGTCTAATGCACGAAAACTAATTTGCTACTTGCTACCAGCATGATTCGCTTGAAGTCTTCATGCAGGTGATCCGATGTCAGGGGAAATACTTTCAGAAATAGGTAAGAGTTCGAAATCTGCCAGCCAAACACTTACAGCTTTTCAAGCTAGACTCAAGGCGAGAAAAATATCGGTCGCTACGTGTACTTAGCGGCCACTTGTAATTGAGCGAATTTTGATGGTATGGCCCACGGTAAGCTGAATCGCTTGCGTCAACATTGGAGGTTGATAATGGAAGAATAATTACTGAGTTTGTTCACGCCGTACCTAGCAAGAATAATTGGTTAGAATGACTTATTCTGTCTGCATAGCCATGATACACAAGACGGTCTAAAACTTGACTCAAGTTCAGTGAAAATAGCAGTGTTATCGCTACAAATATTCCTGCTGTGTTCAGTAGAACCAGACTTGTGATCAATCAAATTACTCGAAAGGAAATAAAGGAAATGAGTATAAAATAAAACGTTTCGCCGCNAGGCTACATACGTGAAGTATGTAGGAGGCTACATACGTGAAGTATGTAGGAGGCTACATACGTGAAGTATGTAGGAGGCTATCCTTTTAGCTGATCCCGGGCGCGCCTCCTCGGCGTTGTCAAGGGACATGACATGTCTTATTTATAGCGAACAATAATTCTTCCAGTGAATAATTCAGGCAATTCGACAAAATGCAGTATTGAATTTTCGTCGAAGAATTACGTTTTTTCAGTAATGGGAAGGGCGAAGTATGAACGACAGGAAATTACGAGTTTAATTAAATAAACGTAAAACACTATAAACTGAATAATGCCCTATAACGATTACGATACAATTAAAATACATTATTTAAAATAACTCGTCAGAATGTCAATCTCTTAGCTGTCATAATGTCGTCGCCGCGCTTACCGTAGTCAATACGGTAAGTGCGACTATGTCGTATGCAATGTTTTAAGATTATATAGGCATGTTAAACTTATAATTTTTAGGATTTTTCAGTCATTTATATGCGGCAAATCATTCGCAACACAATAATTTTTTATGGAGGTCAGCAACTATATTGAGAAGAGGTTTGCGGCATTTAAAGGGTAAAAGAAGAGAGAGACGAGAGACAGAGGAGAGAGAGAGAGCATCAGCTGAGAGTGATTAATCAAAAATTTGCGCCGATCTCGTGTCAATTGATTAAATCCCGGTTCCTTTTTTTACTCTTTGCTGTTAACTGCATTCCATTGCTCCCGTCTATTACTAAGGAGACCTGCATATACAGCTGTAATTTGAAATGCTGTCTCCATTGGAAAAATATAATTTCAACCATTGGCCAGCGTGCCAGTTTATTCGGATGGACGTGCCGGCAGCGGCAATCTCCACTAAAAGATAATTTTGGGAAAGAAGTACTTACGTCCATGACCACTTCTAAACAAGATATATAGTAACGTAACTTCTACGTCAATAAACATCCAAGGATCTTCTGGTGGAATATACTCTGTGGTATCACGATAATACAAAAGCTATGTGCAAATGACAAGTGTTCTTCCGATGTATTTTCATTAAAGATGTTAACTGCCATGCCTTTATTGCCCGTGATCCTTCAATAGTCATTTATCAACGTAGTGTACAAATGGCTGATGGTCGTGGCCTGTACATGTAGAGGCTTCCCGCTGCAATATCGTTCATACATAATAATTGATAATATTTTTTATTTAATATTGTTCAATTGCATAATACTTAACATTGAAGAAAATAGTTGAATTTTAGCTAATAGGGTTACATGAAGCTACAAATTATGGTGTTCAACGGCGTAGGGATTTTAAAAAAGTAATTATGACGTTCATAAGAATGAGTGCGAGTGGCATATATTCTATATTATAGTTATTTAGGGTGCAGTTCAGGTTCTTGTATAACATTAGTATATAGTTTCATAAATTCTATTGTATAGCTCATTAGTATATAGCTCAAGTTCTTGTGTAACATTAGTACAAATTCTATATAGTTCATAAGTATGTAGTGGTGCGATGGACAAACCCCAAAGTACATAGAAGAATGCGTACGCTCACATTTAATTTTGCTCCCAAAGTTATTCTCTTACCAGACGCTCAGCCCATCCAGATCGAAAATTTTTTAATGGCTTTCCGATAATTTAATTTGGTAAACACTTCCAATTTACAAGTTCTTACAATCAACTTCATTGTATTAAATGTTATGAACTGTTTCACATCTTACAATTATTATTTAGTTTGTGCGTCTACGATGTATGTAGCCGAGTGCATGTCTGATTTTGTGAAGACTAATTAAGTTAAAATGACGGATTCCTACGATTAATATTTGAAAGATATATATAGAGACGGCACATTTCGCCCAGGGCTGTCATCACAACGTGCTGAATGTCGTGGAACGGTATTACGAGCACGCGTCAGAACTGTTGGCTTGTACCCAATTTGAGAAAACTTACCCAGTTAAAATTTAGGGCAGGGAATAGAGCAGGCCGTCGCCGGCTGCAGAGTCGGCGTAGAGACGCGACAGAGCAGCGATAGAGCAGAAATGTCCGCTTTAGAGACGATATTGCCAGCCGCGTATCAGCGCTAATTAGCTTCTGAGTACCTGCCCAGGTGTGCTCTGTCCTGCCGTTACGCAGCCCTTACTGAGCACCGCCTGCTCAAACCTGCCCAACGCCTGCTCTGGGGCGGTTCTGGCAGTGTACGCGACAGTTACGCGTCACCGTTTGTCAACAACGATTTAAAAAAATTTGTTCCTTCTCTCTCTAAGCTCACCTAGACTTCTCTCTTGCAATGACAGGTTGTTTTGACATAGGTTACTGACATTCTCATCGTATTGACATTAGCAACGTAATTTAGAATCGAACAAATTCAATTATCGAGGAAATATATACATCAAATTACTCACCGCTATGAACTATCTGCAAACAGGCCTCTAAGATATTTTTTCCTCTAGTCCTCGTGAGCATAGCCAAGCAAAAAGTTCGTTAGTGACAAAGCTCTGGCAGACCTCGATAAAGTGAAGAGCAAGTTTTAATGGCCTCCTTTCTTTGTGTGATCTGTAAATAATAACACAATATAAAAACCGTAACCTTGACCGATGCAGTATGTAAGCCGGACAGTACACTATGACAGTACACTAGCCCTGTGTATAGTATAAGCACCTATATCTTGACTGTACGCCTTCCATACAGCCAATCTCTTGAACGAGTCACAATCAAGCTGCTACGCTGAAGTTAACTCTACCTCTCAGCGCCATTCAAATATATACAAATAGTCTGATGATTCTCAACGATGAGCTTAACGACTTACATTATTACTAATAAATTGTGTAAACTTTTAAGAAAGGCGGATATGTTGTTCCAGCACACACCAGGCTACTCAATAAACTGCAAGTGCACCACGTTTCTGGTGCTCACGAAGTCACTCAGAACCGAGCTTGGTTCAGGCACACTCAGGGAACCAGCTGATGACGATGGGTGGCGTTGGGAAGAGCTTTGACGCAGCTCCCATGAACGGCGCCGTGGACTTGACCATCACAGTGGTCGACCCTCTAGCTGTGATATAACATGAAACTGAAATATAGCGCAAACATCCGCTTCTACATCCATGAACCGCTTTAGTAGATGAATAATACGTTAATAACAACCCTTTTTGTCGGATATAATAATTCATTTCATTACCCTCAGATCTGCGGATCAAAAAAATTGTTGTAGTGAATGGTAAAGTAAGCCGCAAGAAGAAAGCCACCAATGATTTCTCTAAAAGTTTACAAAGAAACAAGACTCCAGCGTTCTATTATGGCGCTGACATACACTAGCTTCTTCGGTACAAACTAAATAGTCTACTCTTGGAACACCGAATACTCCACTCAATGTGAGAAATGCATTGCTGACACAAGCTTTTTCAGATAAAAATAATAGCAATTCGCGGAGAAAATAACTTACATGTACAGGAAGCCGAGACTCATAAATGTTGATGCCTTCAATAGTGTTCATTTATGAAGTAATTTGGCTAGTCGTGTCACGGGGCATAACAAAGTAAAAGGAATCAAAAATCGAGCAAACAAGCTGACATCATATTTAAACGAGTGGAGTTGATCAAAGCTTTAGTTATTTAACTTATCCAGTGGAATAATGTATTTAAAGGGCCAAATTTCAGCAATTACAGGCTCTTCTGGTATAAACTAACACGATTATATCACGATGCAGCTCGCCTTAGTTCTATTGTCCTACAAGGGTTTGGCGTCCTTATAAAGTCTGAAATTTAATATTTCGCAGTTACGTACTTATTTTTAGACGCCTACTTGCATGTTAGTGATTAATTTATAAGTAAAAACCTATGATGGAGATTAATTTCTAGGTGAGGACAATGGTCTGCCCACAGTTGTACTTTAAGTTTTAGGCAGAGATATGGTATCTATTGAGAAAGAGGATGGTGTGAATATGCATTCATAGAACATGGTGCACTGCAATGAGGGCATTCATGTGTCCAAACTCACCATAGAAGACCCCAATAACCGACACGCAGTTCAAGAGAGAGCAGCGATCGAAGGCCTCGGAAATGGGCAGGTTTACCGGCACATCAATGTCGAAGTTAGGCAAGTCCGTGTACCAATAAACCACGAGTTTGCAGTCTGAGGAGTGGAATGGAAAACCTAGACTCAGTTGCTTCAGGTCAAAAGACTTAGAGTAATCCCGGACGACTTTTAAATATATCATCTAGTTTTCACTCCACTCACCAGTCCGACAGACATAGATCAGTTCCTTCTGTAAGAAGTTCCTAGAATAAACAGTATGTTCAATTTCTACGATTTCTATTTCAATTTAGATGATCGCTACGACTGTTGAACTACTTTCAACCAGCATAGAGTAAAAATTTATTTCTTACAAATTTCACTTGTATCTCATCACATCAATATTATAAAATTCTATAGTATTTGCGGTGATCTAGCCCGGTCCGTGTTCCATTATCCATACATTTATTATTCATGAAAGTTCAATGTAAAATAAGCTAAGAAATAAACTTACTCTTGTTTTGATTGCGCTGATCGAGTAAGCTCGTAGCATTGGTGCAGACAAAGCCAGTCATTGAGTAGTTGAGTGCCGCCTCTGGATGGAAGGGCACATTCGCTGGAGGCGAGTACGACACGCAGGCTTTGGTGGCGGGGCATGGGTTGCTTGCACAGGGATTCTGTGGGGAATAATTACCAATTGAATTATGTTAAAAATGGCGGAATTTGACTATTTCACAGGTTGACGGGCAGTGTTGAGATGGATGGGAAGACATTGTTACTACACTTGTTCTTGTTCAATCTCATGGAACATTGTCAAACAAGTAACCAAAATAAAAATAGTTAAATTAAACGTTTTAAAAGTATAGAATGACTCCACCTATATGTGCCTACTGCTAATGGTTGTTTGCCACTGCACGCAGAGCGTAGAGCTAATGATATAGCAAGTCTAAAATAGATAATAACTAAGCCCAGGCAGTCGAATATTATACAGATCATTTTGATTTTGTTATCTTTTGATCTACTCTCAAGGATAAATTCTAGCCTTATGCAACAAGTCCATGCCATTAAGGTCACCAGAAGCTGAGGGCTGATTTGCTGGGTGATGGCGTAGGAGGTCCAACCCGACGCCGCCACGAGGGCTGTCATGGCGCCCGTCAGTTGACACGCGCCTCCTGCATAACAGTCTCGACACTTCTGGGACAGTTGACATGGATCCTCTAGATCGGTTAATGCATCGAAAGCTCAAAACTCATTTGAGATACATACAGAGGTGGGCAGTAGCGCGCTATATGTAGCGGCCGCTACATTTTCAGTAGCGGTAGCGGTAGCGGCGCTACATTTAAGCAATTGTAGCGGCAGCGGTAGCGCCCGCTACAAATTTAAGTAGCGATACGAGGGTTTGCCGCTACAGCGCTACCGCTACATTTATAGATAAAGCCTTTAGGTATTACTCAATAGTATTAAATATTATTGAAAAACCAGCATGATACATACTTAATATAAATTGCAAAATAAAACTGTACGAAAGATTTCGGTGTAATGTTGTCAACCTCAGCCTGTTGTCCGGTGATCTTCTATCACCATTTAGGTTATAATACGTCACCATCTAATAGCTTGTTCTGTACCCACATGGTAGAGTCACGCCTAGTGACGTCATCCCTGTTAAGAACTATATATAGCCAGAGCAGTGCATCGCTCGTCAGTGTTAGCGGTACTGCCTAGCCGTCATCTTGCTAGCCGCTCCTCCGGCACATACATGTGCTGTACCTGTCAATCCCCGTCCAGCTCGCTACAATCTAGTGGGTGTAGCGGTAGCGGTAGCGCCCGCTACATTTAGAGCATGTAGCGGTAGCGGTAGCGCCGCTACATTTCAAAGTAGTGCTGCCCAGCTCTGGATACATCTTTGCATCTAAGGCCGTCAATTATACTCTGCATCAAACAGGAATAAATGTATATTGTTAAAGCTACGGTCATTTTATATTTTACAGACTTGATGTCTGTTGAACGAGTTTTTCAACCCTGCATCAAATTTTAACGCTTAATTTGGTGAATCATGATCATGCCTGAGCTTAGCGATTTCAAATAAAAGAAAGTTATCACTAATTAAACAATTGCAGAACAAACGCTGACGAGCAATACGCACTTTGGAAAGGATGCAATATATGCAGTTATACACCACTGCTGCAATTTCCGCAGGAGAAACACCAGTTTTCGAAGATTTATGTGGCTTGCATTAATTGGCAGCATCACGCCGCATAGAATGGGTAGTAAGTCTTATTATCACCTGTCTGCGCAAGAATTTCCTTAATAACCGAAAAGTTCAACCACCAGCAATAGTGAGACGGCGCTGTGTCTGCCGACTGCGGCAGCCACTCCCCATTCAACTCGATCAAAACACATAAACCAGACTAATCCTATTATGCGCCATTAGCCTATTAACACCTCTATTGTCTTTTCCATTTCCCTTTCTCCATTCTGGTCAATCTGTGCCGCCACCTCTTTATTTTTTCCTAACTTTCCAAGAGCCAACGCACCACCACCACCGAAGGCGACAGCTTGAACTGAGCTGAACTTGACAGTGGCGACACAAATGGACCTTATAATTATAACGAGGCAGTCTGTGACGAACAGCCTAGATCATGATGAGAACTATACGACATGAGAATAAGTAATGATTTCATTCGATTTTCCAACCAGAATTAGGAATATTTGAATGCAAAATAAGAGCGTGAAATTCGATGGCAAACGAGAGGCGAGGAGTGACGGCTGAGTTGACCAAATAAGGCGTCCAGTGAATTCTCACATCTACTCAGCCCCATTGAAAACATACGAACTTGATTGCAGTCACAGAAAGAGAAATGAGCATTCTTAACAGGCAACTTATTTTCCGTTAGATTTCTGTGATATACACGACTAGCATAGATTGATTATTTATGGTTCGTGCGATAAATTTTAACATAAAAATTTACACCCAAAAAGTTAATTAGTTTAAGATACGTCACCGTTGTAGCTGAAGCCGAGACAGACGCCCCAGTCCCCGCACAGGCGGAGGCACAACAATGGGCTACCGACCGTCGTGTTCAGCAGAGGAGTCCCGGAGAAGCGCCTGCCATTCCCTGCAATTGTTTGCATTTAATTCAAAGCCTGACTCGCCTTCCAAATTAATAAGAAATACTGTAATTTTGATAATTTATCTATACTCTCGAACGCAGGAACGGTAATTGCTTTATGATTCAAGCGTTTTCATATTATCAGCATTTCCGCGATGAAAAAATCTTCTCACGCTTCACGTAGGTAAAGGTTCAGCTATTTCCCAATTAAACGAAAATAATTTATCCCACGAACGTCATTTAATGAAAAAAAAATTAGTAAATTCTCAAGCTACCAATTAAATATATTGAAATTAATGCGCCTCTGCTATCGTTGAAGTTATATACTTAATTTTACCAGTCCTAATTGAACTTTTTCATTCCGTTATTAATTGATAGATAAATTGAATTTCCTTGTGCGGATGTTTATTACGATGAAATTTTTTGTAGCGAATTTCGACATGAAAGTATTTAGAGTGCTCTTCCAATTAGTTAGTTTCATTAGTTAGGTCACAATGAAAAGAACAAATCCTCCGTGAACTAATGATAATTTTAGTGAATCAAATTCTTTCTTGGACTGTGGGAGGCAGGGTATCAGTGAAATAAACTCGGCTGCAGTATCTAATAATGGTAGAAACTTTCCTTAAAATAAGACAATAAATTAAGACATTTATGCCCCGAGAACTCGTGCTAGCTAGTCTAATGCAGCAAGAAATCGTTGTATTTGACTATCTAGTCATTATCACAAATATGCTACGGAAATAATTTTATGTACAACAAGTTATTGCACTCTTAATAATGAAACCCCAAACAAAATACTCACCATAAATTCTGGACGAGAAAGAGCGTGATCGCCGAGTCTTGGCGCGCGCGTGCCCGTTTACACTAGTGGCAACGACATGCGCTTTGAGTCGTTTGCTGCAGTGCCTCACCGCGCACAACCGTTTACACTACTTTTGTACTCGGTTGACATTGTCAACTCTGATGCGTTTGGTGAAGCACCAGGATCAATGAGATCTTGACCCTCAGATGAATTAATCATTGAGGTATCGTTAGTCACTTTCACAAATCACAATTATAGGGAAACAGAGAGGTTTGCAGGAACGTCCTCTTTCGACAACGGTTCAAGCTTCCCCATGAAACTCTTAGAGACTGCGCAGTCTCTATGCGCAAAGTTGCGATGCTGATTATCGTACTCTTATTGTAGTAACTATCCTCATGGACAGACGCTGATATATTAGCAAAATACTAACATTCTGTTTATAAACCAACAAAATGAACCAACGTTTCAGCATACTTGAATGATAAAAATCACATCCTGAGATGCAACCGAAGTTAAAACAGAATGAGCAAAACCATTGAAACTAGTTTATGACTGTAAATAAACACATAAAACAGGGCCAATTGTGCAGCCGAACTACACTTCATTCACTCTCCTTTTAAAATATCGGTAGAAGAATTCAGCTTTTTCATTTTGCCGACGAAGCGAATAGCGACTTGTCGATATTTACTCGCGTTTGCATCAGCTGAAGTGTAAACTTCCCATATCCATTTTCGTGGAGTGTGACGTATTTATTATTAGAATATTAACTATAAGCCGCATAATGAAATGAAGCTATAAGCCGCATAAATTATTTTCAGAATGCTCCAGTAAAGGCGGGGAGAGAACCTGACAGCGGTACTGCGGGAAACTGCGCCGTCATCTACCCCACTCAAAACTGGGCTTTCGCTGATGATGACTGTGGGACAAAACGCGGTTATCCTATTTGCTCAAGAACACCACTGCATGGTGAGGAAATCATGTGCTCCGTATGCCAAACACATATCTGCTTTAATTATTTATACATCAATCCTAAAAACAATTTCTGAAATAGTATTCTTCATATTTTACGGAAATTATTCAGAAATTCAACTGTAGGTATAAACACGTTCCTTGCATAGCCTCGTTTAGTTTTCATATTACTTTACACAGCACACATTTATATTTCAATAAAGGACATTGTGGGCAGCCATTTGTGTTGGTGGGCACGCAATGCGTCCACGTTATCCAGGCTGGAAGTACTTGGGCTGCCGCACGCACCCTGTGTGGACTGCTTGGTGGAGACTTGATCATTCTAGATGACTGTCATCAGTACCGCAAGGTCTACCTCTACCTAACCGAGAAAGGTGACACCCTACACAGTCGGATTATATATTATACAAAAACTAAGATTTTCTGTACCCTAAACTGATTCCTACCAATAAAGTAAAGAAATTTACCTAGCACGACAGTAAATAAGTCAGAAAGGTGAACTCATCTGAAGGAGTTAAGCAAACCAGAATCTTTGAGGCACCTGAATAAAAAGCCAGGCCTTACTTGTGTTGATGGGTACCGAATAAAGCACGGAATCCTAAATTACTGGATTGTCTAGTATCTGTCAGTCTATTCGCTATCTATAGTATCTGAAATGTCTATCTGTAGTATCTCCATCGCATTTTCAAATGTTCATTTTGATCATTCGTGAAAAATTGTGGTCGTATATTTAAAATTTGAAATTTAATATACTATTTCATAATGTTACTCATATTTCTTTCTTTTCTAAGGTTACAAACCGGTTACATTTTGGATCGGTGGCTCAGATCTCGCCGTGGAAGGGCAATGGCGCTGGATAGACGGTTCGCCGATGGCAATGGGTGTTCCATACTGGGGCAATGTAAGCTGAATATTTAATTGAAATGTTATCAATCTACATGAAAGTACAAACAGTAAATATATACGATATTCGAATTCGTTGATATTTTATACAAATTTTCTCCATTATAAAGTGCACTTAATCTAGAATTCAATGCCACGCTTCAGGCCTTGCGCCATGTAATCGTAATTCAAGATATTCAGAGCTACGAACAGTTTATTCATTTACACTCAAATCTGAGGTCTCTGCTCTATGCTTTTATAATTTAATTCAGTAATTGATCAAATATTTTAATTGGGGTCACTTCACAGTAATAATTTTTTGCAACATCCTTCAAACGAAAACAGATTTGTAATACTCATGTTCATCTGCATAAACACTAGTGGTCAAAGCACAAATTTCTAAGGAAAAAGTCGTGCTACTCGTGTTAAGTCGTGTTAATATATTACAGTTATATTTGTATACTAATCCTAATATGTTGGTACACGCGCATCAATAATATTTTTTTTATTGATTTCATTTGAAACAATTTCGTTCTGTCCATTGATCGTCAACATCTACACTTAAAGCGTATAAAAGCTAGTGACCTATGCTAGCTATAGAATGTAGGCATAGGAAGACGCTTCTCTTTCAAGTTTTACGTTCTTGATTCCATGTATTGAAACCTGTATGAATACAGAACAGTTACTAGTTATACATATACACGAAATAAACAATTCAAATAGTCAAATAAATCGGGATTAGGTTAAAAATAAGTAAAGTATATAAAAGCATAATCCTGGCAGTGCTTACTGTAATGAGAGGTTGTTGAGCAATGTAAATAAACACAGAAGGTCGGAACGAAATAAACTAAATGCTGCTTTCACAGTTGTGACGTTTATCTTTTAGCGATAAATCTAATTTCTACATTTGGTTCTAATCTGAATTATTGTTACACAATTATTAATTACATCTAGACGCTACACACTTTACTCGCCAGGTTATGCCGATCGAGATTGTTCAAGTAGCTCTCGATGTAAACATGCATCAGATAATTAATTGGATATTAATCATGATATACTTTTCACGAAGTGTAAGTCTTGCAAAGTAAATAGTAAAAACAATACAGTATATACAGTAAAAGTATACAGTGTATAAAATAAGAAATTATGTATCTGAATCACAGACTGGTGCAGGAGCTCCAGAACCCAACAACCCCGGAGTTGAGAACTGCATGGAACTCAGTTCTGCATGGATGTACCGCTTCTCCAACACGCTGTGCAACAACACGCGTCGGGTGGTGTGCGAGACCCATCCCCTCTAGGGGAAATATTGAGACGGGGATCCCTTCTTAGAAGAGTATTATGATTTGATTTCTTTAAAATTACTAGGATGATGTCCTTTCTAGAAGAGTATCGTGGTTATATTCATTAGAGGAATATTGGGACCTTCACTAAAGTAAAGCCTTAGATGGAGAAATCAGAAGAAATGCTTTCAATTCTGCAATTGACTCGAATTATACTTCAATTATGAATATTAATAACCAGAAGGTATTTGTTGGTAATCCTGGAATATATAATCTTTGTACCTTAAGAACCCGTTAACTCAAATACCGTCATCTCGAACCACCTCATTCAAAATCCAGTTTATAATTTTAAAACTAGCGTTCGGTATTTGATCATACCTGTTATAAACCACTTCTAACTCGAAACTCCAACTAAAGTCGTGATTTCAAGTTAATAGTCTTGATTTCGCGTAGTTTCTCGCTTACTCTTTAGTGCTATGTAATTGATTAGTAGAGCGGTGGCTGCAAAAGCGACGCGTTGAGTGTGGTTAGCTTGCCAGTCACTTCGCAGCGGTGTGTTATATGTATTCTGAAACGGGTAAAAGTCATTCTATTTAATGATTCCTCTTGATGGCAAATAGGTTCGACCCATTCTAATTGTCCAGTAAGAAGTGATGTCAATTCATCGCTTTCAGTCATATTGTATCACGGTTGCAGTAGCACCTCGACCTGGAATTTCTCGCGTACTTGCATCTTCTTGAAGCAACCTAGTGCTTCCGATGATTCGGTTAGTGGCTAGTTTAAATATTCCATTACTGTTTTCTACTTAACGTCGATATGCTAGGTAAATCGTAAACATTTGGTATGCCACGTGAATTAATTATCTATCCTTTTCAACTTGTTACAGAAACCATTTCTAAACCAAATAAAGTTCCTGTATCGGATCATCTTTCATTTACGTCCAAAAAGGCATGAGGTTTATTTATAGTTGCGATCCATATATTAGAGTTGCTCGCCATCATGCTACAAACACCGCCTCCCAGCACATCGAAGGATGCGGTACAATCTCCGCAGCATCGCCCCCTAGAGGAAAGCTTGTTTCAGTCATTCGTAAAATGAACGAAATCGATGGCATGCTCAGTCGTTTCACCTGATTTCGTTGACATTAGGAAAAACTTCACCTAATATCTCGTTCGCGTTGAGAGACTCCTTCAAACCTGCGATGAATCGGATGGTGCATGGCTGCATGGAATCCAACATGATTGTGATCGATCAATTCCGCATCCGAGTTGAAGAGTTTCTAAAATCTGACTCACTAAGATCGCAAAGTTCAGACAGCATTTCGGCATCACAGAAATCAGGATCAGTGCGTTGCAGAAGCTCCGAATGCTCCACTACTTCTGGAAGAATCAGACTAGCGGAAGAGATAGCAAGACTGGATGCTGCAAGAATTCACCTTATTAATATTCAGAAAATTGAACTTGAAGAACTTAAATTAAAACATGAGCGATCCGAGGTGGATCTAGCCAGGCAAGATCTCGAAACTAAACTAGTGTAGCAGGCCTTTTACGAAATGGACGATTATTCGGAAATTGTTTCGAAGGTTTCCCAAATTAGACCATCCGTAGATACCACTCAATTGCAACTGTTTCTTACCTAGCAAAACAAATGTCTAAATCAATACTAGGCCAATGCGACGAAGCATCGCTACTGAAAAAAAAAACACTCGAATTTTTTGACGGCGTAGACGTTACCAAGTTAAAGATTCTTCTACACAAATTCGTACTATTGATTGCGTCTTGGTGCAAGACTAAACTGAAGAAACTTAACCTATTTGGAGCAGTTCACTAGATGGCACATGGCAGGCCTTGAAGCTGGTACAGCGCTGCAACACCTGCCTTTCAGGACTCTGTTGCGCAAGAGCAAAGAAGCTGTTAATTAGGGAATACGGCAATTATTTCAAGATTGCAAACGCATACCTGGAGACTTTCTCCAACTTGTCTGACATAGAATCAGAAGACAAGGATGCACTGCTCGATATCTCTTCCTTCCTCATGCAAGCCAATAATCTTTTGTAAAATAGCCTCCTTGGATCTCAGTTGAATAACCGGAAAGATATTATGAATGTAGTCATGAAATTACCTTTTAAAATCAGGGAGCTCAAAGCGAAACGTCTACTTTGACGATCTGATCGACTCTGTCCGCAACGAAGCCTCTCTTGTCCGTCAAACACTGTTCGGAACATTTGTTGGAGATGTAAACAGAATGAAAAAAACGGAAATACCTTTACTCTTCCCTCGAGACCAGGCTTCCTATCCGTTTACTAGAAACGACGTGCCCTCTAGCGCCGACGTAAGGGTACCCACACAGTGAAAGCAGGTTTGCCCGTGCAGGCAGCCTGCTCCAACTTGCCGCAAGAATGAACATAGGATAATAATGTAAGTGTTCACAGTGAAAACCTGTACGAATAGGCCAGCTCCAGGCCTATTTATTTCAATTTCAGGCGCCAGCCTCAGCAGGTAACCAGCACGCTGGCAACCTGCTTTCACTGTGTGGGTACCCTAAGACCTTGTCTTCACTTGGCCAGCGTACCGTTCGACTTCGTCGACGCAAATGTCAGTCGACTGATAGGAATGAACATGCATGGACTCTTGAAGCCTACCAGCATCAAAGATGGACCCTGGAATGAGCCCTTTGCCCTTTGAAACTTGCTCGGTTGAACCTTCAACGGACCACTTGATAGAAAGAAAAAATATCCTCGTATCTCCGCTCGAAGTCTGAAACGATCGAGGATGAGTTGGAAACCTTTGCCTCTTTGGAATTCGTGGGAGCCTCAATAGAGAGGAGCCCATCGGTGAAGGCCTATTTATCTGTGGCTGGACAAGGTGACCAAAAACCTAAAGTCGCTTCCTGGCGGGCACTATGAGATTGGTCTGCCTTTCCGGGACGAAGAAGTTCAATTCCCTTCAACCAGAGGTCAAGCTCTGTCAAGGTTCCTTTCTTTGAAGAAAAGGTTCGCCAAGAACGAAAAATTATTCAAAAGCTACTCAGCTTTTATGCAAGAGATGGTCAATAAAAACTTCATGGAGCACCGAACCGTCAGATTAGTGATTCCTTGTTCACCATGCCGTTTATCAGAACCAGAAACCAAAAATCTGAGTTGGATCTGACTGCTGTCTTAAGTTACAGGGAGTTTCTCTGAATAACAGTCTTCTCTAAGGATTTGATCTTACCAACAATCTTCGTGGGGTGCTCCTGAGGTTCCGCGAGCAGAGCGATGCTGCTGTGGGCAACAATGAAAAAATGTACTACCAAGTTAAAGTTCCCTCTTCGCAAGCAAATTTCTTGGAGCTCTCTTGGTTCGACGAAAACCTTTCGCCGACAGAGTATAGATTGAGAGTGCAAGTCTTTGGCGCAAGGAGCTGGCCAAGCATAGCAAATTTTGCTCTAAAGCGATCTGGCGATGGCTATACGCCCAGCTCATGAATAAGGGACGTAATCATGCGTAACTTCTACGTCGACGATATGCTCTTGTCGGCAGTCATGGGTGCAGAAGCAGCGAGTCTGATCAGTCGGTAAAAGAAACTCTTGCCAAATGAGGTTTTCATCTCGCATCGGTAACTGCTAAGTCTGCGGACCTAAGACGCACTCTCTCGTCGCATCGGTAACTCTTAACTCTGCGGACCTAAGACGCACTCTCTCGTCTCGTCTCGGTCGCTATCCCAGATACGCATGCACTCAAAGTCCTCGGCCTCGGCTGGGACTTGGACAGCGATTCTTTTCGTTTTGGGTGTATAAGAATTGTTTCTGCTCCACTCGCCGGGGTATCCATCGAAACATCGCTTCAATTCACAACCCACCAGGATTGATTTCGACAGCAATTAATAGTCCATGCCAGAAGGATCTTTCAGGAAACTGGTCGATTGAAAATGAGCTGGAACGACCCACTTCTACCATCCCTTTTAGAATCTTTGAGAAAACGGGAAGAAAACTTGAAGTCACTTGATTTTAGCGTTCCGCGAAATCTAAAAATTTATGCTGAAAGTGTCCCTGCGAGAAGAGAGCTCCGTGTGTTCTGCGACGGTAGCGAGACGGCTAACGGATCTGTCACGTATGTAAGATACATTAGTCCAGGGTCGGTCGCTATGAGCCCTTCACTAATCGTCAAGGCTAGATTGATGCCTTTGAATAACACTACATTACGGACGATTACACGAATTGAAATGTGCAGCAGACAAACTTGATGTTGGAATTGCGTCACTTCTCGTTGTACAGGTAACCAGACAGCGCACCGCTGGCAGTGAAACACAGTGTAACACAGAACGTATAGATCTGGAGCACGATACTGAGCCATCCTGATCTAGTTCGAACCGGGGCACCATGTACAGGTAACCAGACAGCGCACCGCTGGCAGTGAAACACAGTGTAACACAGAACGTATACTGGCAAGCGTGAACGAGGTTCAGCAGTCAGCATATGACGAGTATAAAAGGCATACTGACTCCGATGTCAGGCACATCGCATATCAGCTATTGTTCGCTCTGTTATGGTTCTATAGAGAGTTGTGCATCTTAACTCGTCAACGAGCTAACCACACTCGTCACTCGAGCGTACACACTCGTCAACGAGCTAACCCACCCAGTAGACTGCAAAAGGTTTTGGACGGACAGCCGCACCACGGTCCTGTCGTACATCAAGAACGAAAATAGACGTTTCCAGCGCTTCGTGTCGAAAAAGGTCTCATTCATAAGAAACCTCTCCTCACCCGACATATTGTCCCACGTTCCATCATAGAGTAATCCAGCTGCCTTGGTCAGCCGAGGAGTCACGCCACCAATCTAGCAATGTCGAGCGTGTGGAATAATGGACCATATTCCTTGGCCAAAAAGGAATTTGGGCCGAAGAATCAGTTTTACCATCTTCAAGACTCTGAATGGAAACACTAGGCTGAAATCAAGGTTTGTGCAGCTAGCTCACTGAGAAAACACCAATCGAAATCCTACTTAAGTCCACATCAAACAGGTATGGAGTAAGATGTCGAGTCGCATGGTTCCT